AGGATTATGCAGGCATTATAGTAGGGTAGCTGACTCATTTGCGAAAGAAGCATTTTTAACATTTCAAGAACCTTTCTAAAAGCATTATTGTCAAGTTAATTATTATTAACACCGTCAACTAGATTTGCACCTATACTAAAGTAAACATGTGATTAAGCAATTAATGATAACCACCGATCATTAAACAACTTCCATCTTGTCATATTCACTATAACTCGTCCAAGTGTTCCATAAACATTTACTACGATGAAGTCACTCAAGTCAAGTGCTCACTATCCAGAGCGATGGCGATTGAATCGATTCCTAACCGGTGGTGATTTATTCCTTACACAAATCTCACTCACCCGCTAAAGTGAGATATTGATCACCGAGTCAACTTTCCGGTATCTCGAGTTTGCCAGAACCACATGTACCGGGGCCGACCGATCGCACTTTGGTCTTATCATCCCGCCCCGTGTCCTACCACACACCTTGACAGGCGTCATGGCTGCGGGCAATCTACTCGGCCCGAAAAAATCTCCCACCTTCGCGGTCGGAAGGTACTTTATCCCGCCCAGCTAAATGTAAGGCATGCGTTCAACATGACTCGAGGCCCAACAACGGTCGGTCCTTAATCGACCAGCACGGAAACACTACGGTCCAAAACCCCGCAAGTCTCCGCCCGGTCTCAACTTCATTTAACACTTAGTTATACCATGACTTCATAGCCATCCAAACAGATCCAGGTAACCACCTATAGCTCGCAGGTGACAGGAAATCACCCGACTTCTACCGGTCTAAGCCAGCTAAGCATTGACTCGACTGCGGATACCAGGGTAACAAGGATATAGTATAACAAAGGTAAACAAGGTATAATGCAGCAACGGTTGCAAACAACTCCTGAACGTAATGCATCAATTTAAAGTAAAGCATTTAACGAAATCATTGCAAACCGGGAGAAAGATGCTCGGGGCTTGCCTCTCTCGAAGGAGCTCGGGACGGTGATCGGGCACTCGGAAGTTCTTCAACGTCCTCCTCGTAAACCACGGCACTTCTGCGGCTGCACCTCGAACTGCTCCTCGGGCTCCTCGGGAATGACGACTGGGTTCTCGGTTTGCGATCCTGTATGATGCAATGCGTGTAAGTGCCTATGCAATCGGTGCATCGAAGGAGATGAATGCAATGAATATGTTGAAAGGCAAGGTAGACAACATCATCCAAGAAACTAGGCTACAAGCACATGTCATCTACTGCATTCTCTTCTACTACCCATATGTTAAGTCAACATATTTTAATAAATGCTTCAAAGATACACCAAAGCTTTACTAATTTCTTAATCACACTTAAGGCAACACTTGCTTAAACCCTAATTAATAATAGGTTTGAATAGCAACCTAAATTTCTGATGCTCCTAAAAATCTGAGAAAATTACAGTAGCATACTACTACCCTAAACAGACTACCATAAAAATTTCATGGCATTTGGATAAGTAAACTATCCTACACAAAAATGACAAGCTATAGCCTAAAAATGAGCATGAAATTACTTTGTACTATGAAAAGTGTCAAACAACAGAATTAATATTTTTCCTAGGTTCTTCATGGTATATAATGACTGTACAAAAATTGTCACATGCATGTTTTATACAAAATTTGTGCTCTAGCAAAAATAACAAAAATCAGCCATTAAAGGAACTTGAACTACACCTCAAATTTTTTCCCACAGCACATGCATGAAACATATTTTTCCTAGGAAGTACATGAAATAAGAAGATTAACAAACTTGGAATCATATTTTTCTGAAGCCTATATATTTTTCTACATATTTTTCAAGTTATCAGCAATATTCAAGATTAAATAAAATCCTATAGAAAAGTATCTCAAAAATGACATGCACTATTTTTCCCAAGTAGATCTGATGATAAGGAACCTAGCAAAATTTGTTTCAACAAATTTGGAGCAAGTTTGAGTATCCAAATATTTTTCAAACCATTTTGATTTCAAATAATAAAGAATAAATGGAAATCAAATCACTTAAGCGTTATTGGGCCAGCCCGAACGGCTTGGCAAGTGCCCACGATCGTGGCTACAAGACACGGCCCAGAACGACGCAGCCCATCTCCAGTCCCCTCGCGAAGGCCAAGGTACGACAAACGGGGCCCGCATGCCAGCCGAGAGAAAGCAGGGACGGAGAGGACGACGGCGCTGGCAAGCATGCTGAAACTTCGCCGACGGCGAGGTCCCCGGCAAACGGAGGGCACCAACGTGCTCCCCATGCCAAACCGCGTCGGATAGAGGTGAATAGGGAGGCGGTGCGGGGGAAAAAGCTCAATGACAGTAATGGCGGGCGGGCGGCGCGGCTAGTCGCCGGTGGAGCATCTCCGGCCTGGCGGGGAGGTGCAAGGAGGCGCCGGGAGACTCAACGTCGCCGTCTGCGGTGCTTGTGCGCGCAAGCTGAGTAGGAAGAGGAGCTGGGGGGAGTCCACGGGAGCGGAGCTCACCAATGAAGCTTCGGCCGTGCTCCGCGAAAGCAATTCCCAAGAACGGATGCTTACCTTGCAAAAAGAAGCGAGAGCACGGGTGCTTGTGGGTGACGGCGGAGCTGTAGGCTAGAGACGGAGTTGTCACCGGCGAGCTGAGGTGGGCTGGCGAGCGAAGCTCCGGCAAAGCGCTGTGCACGGTGCAGTGGCGATGGCGGGCGCTGTGGTGAGAGGGAGAGGAGGCTTGGCGGAGGAGGCGAACGCTGGAATGCGGTGGTATGCTGGGTGCTCAAGACTCGCCAGCCAGCAAGTCGGGAAGCCTGGTGGCGCGTGGTCATGTGATCAGAGCTTCGGCGACGGGTGGCGCCGCGCTGGCGATCAACCTCACGTCGTCGGTGCAGCGGATCTGAAAGCTGTGGAAGAGTGGGCGTGGGCTGAAGGTGGCGAGTAATTTCTTGGGCCAAGGCGGAAGCTTGAGCGCCCAGCAGTGGTCTTGTGTGATGAGGGGCTTTCTTTGGGCCGGCTTATGGGTCAATGGAAGCGAATGTGCCCATGAAAAACAGAAAAACTCTTTTTCATTTATATTTTCAAGAATTTTTAAAAGCCAGCTTTCAAATCTTATTTTGAGTAAGAAGATGACCTCTTTTGAAAATGTACCAAAATGAAAGTTGCTTAGAATTTAATTCTCTACAACTTTGCTTTTAGGACCACAGCCAAATTCTTTCTAGATTTTGAATTGGAAGATCAAAGTCCACGTTTAGCTCAAAACCCTAATTTTTGGAATTTATTTTTGAAGCCGAATTTTGAATTAATTTGAATACAAACATTGCTCCAAAAATTGAACTAAACATTGCTAGATGATTTACAATAGCAGCCAAACATGTTCTACTAACCTAGCAAGCAAGAATCAGAGCAAAACAACTCTAATAAGTGTATGCATCATTTACGTTTCACAAACATGTTTCGTATGTTTCGAAGTAATGTTTCAGATATTATATGCAAGATTATTCATGTATGATTAGGATGCTTGATGATGCATGATATGCATGATTTGCAGTGCCTAAATGTAGGCATAACACCGGGGTGTTACAATGCCCCGCTTGTCTGAAAATCGCACTGAATAGACGGTAAAAGAAAGGGGCTGTCTACCCACCGCTCGAGTGATTTATGGGCATGTATCATGCTCGATGGCACCCAAAACACCCGGTTGAGCACTAGAATAAAATTCGAGTGTTTTTTAACCACGTAACACTCGATTGTTATGACCACCATTAGATCCAGATCAAATGAACCAAAAAATTATCTAAAAAATACAAAAATATTGAATAGAACAAATGAGCCAGATTATTTCTATGAAAGTCAAATTAAAAAAAATCAAAGGGGAACCAAATAAAACATACGAAAATAAAAAAAAACTGAAAAAATGATTAGATAACTGTTCGGGTAATTCTAATCATTCCTATTTACGAATAATCAATTTACACTAATTGAGTATAGAACTTACACCCAAATAAAAATAGTAAAATATGGTATAATAAGATGTAATTTGCTCCACCAAATAAAGGAATGAATATACATACTGTAGCAAAGCCGTCACTGCACCGTCACTCCATCTGCAGCAAAGCTACATGCACTTGCCCTCCGCCGCTTCATGGTCATTAAGCAAAGCTGCAGCAAAGTTGTATGGTCGCAGGCGCGCAGCAGCACCTGCACCGCATACACCCGCACCGCCACCTTTCACCAAGGTATGATCTCCCCGTTCACAGCGAGATCAGACGGACGGCCACACAGATCGAGTGAGACGCGCCGTAGTATAGATTTAGCGAAAAGAAAAGGGAAAATTGGTTCTATAGCATTGAAAGATCGCAAGAATCAGAAAATATTATAAAAAAAGCTCGGTTACGTAAAATACTATCGAAAGATGGAACCGTTACTTGAAAATAACATTCCGTCTCGCTCTGTAAAATAGACTGAAAGAAGATGTCGAGATCATCACGTCGAAACTCAGCCAACTGCTTTCCAAGGTAAATACACCAATCGCCAAAATCTGAAGAGAATCAACAGATCTGACAAAACATGCTCTCATTGGCCCTTCGCCGACGGCAGATCGAACATCGTCGAGGTAGAGAGAGACCGAAAAGATCTTATTCCAATATGACATCTTTGCCACCACCTCGTCAATCACAACAGAAACCAAACCCTACGATAAAACCGAGAACAAACCTAGACGTGGCCATTATATATACTATTTTTGAGCAAACGTGGCCATTAGATAGATTGACAGTTTGTCCAGTTTCTACTTGGTCCAACGTTTCGGCCCGTGACGAGCTCTGAAACAGAGAACGCAGTGGGCTTCTCCCCGTCGACTCCGGAAAAATTTGGGCCTAAAATATGAAGCCCACTTGTCTTCCTTTCGATTCAAAGTCAACGGCGTCGCGGGTCGGTTGCTGACCAACCACCGCCCCGGCCGGGAAGCAAAGCAAAGCAGAGCACGGAGCTCAGTCTCAGACTCTCAGCTCGGCGAGATCCCGTGACGGCGAGGATGGGCAGCGAGGCGAAGAAGCTCCCCCAGATCGACTTCTCCCGCGTGGTCCCGTCCACGCCGGGCGGCGAGGCCTGGGAGGAGGTTCGCGGCAAGGTGACGGACGCGCTGGCCACTTTCGGCTGCTTCGAAGCGCAGTACCCGGCTCTGACCCCTCAGCTCCGCGCCGAGCTCTTCGACGGCGCCGTGAGGCCGCTCTTCGCGCTGCCCGCCGACGCGAAGCGCCGCAACTACTACGGCGCCGACAGGCCGTTCCATGGCTACCTCGGCGACATCCCGGGGTTCCCTGGCTACGAGAGCCTCGCCATCGTGGACGGCACCAAGGACGAATCCGTCCGCGACTTCGCCCGCCTCATGTGGCCCGACGCCGGCGACAACAACGACGGCTTCAGGTAATAAGCATAAGATCTCGTCGGGTCCTTCTCGCAGATCTTACTCTATAGGCTTTGGTCTGACCCTGTTCTGCCGCGGCGGCGCAGCGGTACCGTCGGTAAGGCGGCGCAGCGGATCTTTGAGCTGGAGGAGGCCGTGCGGCGGATGGTGATGGAAGGGCTCGGGGTGGCCAAGCACCACGACGCGCTGAGCGCGTCCATGTGGCACCTGTTCCGGATGGCGGAGTACAAGGCGCCCAACGACGCGGAGAAGGTGGTCAGGTACGGGTCGCACCAGGACACCAACTGGCTCAGCGTCGTCTTACAGCACGAGGTGGCCGGGCTGGAGATGCAGAGCAGGGACGGCGAGTGGATCGTCGTCGAGCCGTCGCCCACGTCGCTGGTTTTCATGGTCGGCAACGCGCTCCGGGTACGAACTCTTGCGGTTGCATTTGCTAGCGCTCCTAATCTTGGTTATGCAAATATTGAATGTTTGAGCAAATACAATACCTAGCCGAACGTTCAGTTTGAGGAGCCATTCAGAAAAACATTGTCAGTGCTATGGCCATGTTCGCTTGGCTAATGATATTGAAAGTACCATTCGCTAATTTGTTGGAAGAGAAAAACATTGTTCTTTCGCTGAAAAAGTATGTCTCACAGGAATAGCAGGCAGATATCAACAGTGATAGTATGAAGGACTAGTCCTGACAGATAACAAAATAAGCTTATTTTTTAAAATACAGTTGGGGGGACACTTTCGCTGTTAATTGAGACATTTTTTTTTTCAAATTCAGTTTGAACTGTTGAAGTTGAACATCAGATAACATTTAGCTTCTCGATCCTAAGATTAAAGCCATCCATTTCTACACTGATCCTGTCTTCTGAGTTCTGACCTTTCTGTGCTGTGCTTTTCATCTTACTCCAGGCATGGACAAACGACCGTCTATACGCTCCATTCCACCGGATTACTGTCGCCGGTGAAGTCGCCAGATACTCCGCGATGCTGTTCTCGGTCCCCAACTTCAAGGTTCAGGTGGCAGATGAGCTTGTGGACGACCAACACCCTCCCCGTTTCAAGCCCCACGACAACAACGACTTCGTCTGCTTCTGTGTTTCCGAAGAAGGCGCTCGACACCAAGATAAACTCAAGGCGTTCTGTGGAGTGTAATTATCAGTTCTACTTTTTAGCTATAGAAATAATGTTTTTTTTTTATAACAAATCAGCCACAACAACAATAAATCGTGTCGAATATGGCTATATATCAGCTGTCCCCTGTCCGTCTGGCATCTGTTTTACCTCAGCAGGGTTGCATGCAGCAGAGACCACGCAATAAAAGATACCTCGGCTGCATTTCTTGTAGTCTGGACATGAACCAGCGCCCTGTTTGTTTAGACTTGTTTGGCTTATAAATTATAGCTGAAAGTACTGTTGGCTGGTTTGGTATGAGAGAAAAATATTATTCGTTGACTGATAAGTCATGACTTATAAACCAAATACGACAAAGAGAAAAATAACATAGCATTCCGGTATCCATGAAAGAAATGAATAAAGTTTTTTTTTTGTTTCTCGCTATAGATGAGACGAGTGGAATGTTTACCTGTTACGGACACTTCAGAAAAAAGTGGTGAGTTTACTCTGCAAGCTAAGGATTATGGGCCAAACTTGTTTATTTTATAAAATAAAACAAGCTAATCCATCATCAGTTTGTCAGTTTAAAATAAGCTAAATCATTATCAGTTTGTCAGCAAGCTATCAAATGTTAATGAGTACGAGAATGTTAATGACTCAGAAAGCTATCAAATGTTAATGAGTACGGCAGCACTAGCGTCCGGACCGACCCTCTACGTCCGGATGTCTGCGCCCACTACAATGCCCGTGCCAGCGCCTGCTTCGCGCACAGGCGAGGCCCGCCCGCGCCACTCCCCCAAGCTTCCCTGCTTCCCGCGCCCTGTCCGGTGAAGAAAGCTAACACATGAACACAAGGTGGTGATCACTTGTTGGTGTTAGCACATTTACAGAGGAGAAATCGAAAGGTGAAGAAAGGAGACGAAACCAGGCTTGGGGTGCTGCCCTAGGAGCACCGTCACCCTCTGTCCGGTGCACCGCCACCCTAGTGGCGGTGACCAGCTGGTCGAGGCCGAGAGCAGGGGTTGGAGCTGGCACCGCTGTACCTTGTCGATGGCACCGCCACCTCTAGGGAAGTGCCCACCTGGACTTGGTTTCGAGCAGCAGAAGGGTTGTCACCGGACGTGATGGTGTACTCAATCTTCTCAGCCTTCAGTCAACTCTCGTCTGGTCAAGCGGACTATCATCAGAAACAAGGTGCCCGCGAGCCGCTCCGGACAAGTTAACTTCACCGAGGTTGAGGAGATTCCGCAAGGTGAGCCTGTGATGGCTGATATGTTTACCATTGAATCCCATCCAGCATATGTGTTATTTGATTCTGATGCATCACATTTATTTATAAGTATGGGGTTTGCACAAAGGCACAATATATCTACTATGGCCATTCCTATTGCCTATAAAATCATAACTCTAGGTGCACAGTTGTGCGTTAAAACTCGGACAGACATCATGAGATTAGTGCTAGCCACTCACTCTTATCGTCTCTAGTTCATGGGGCTGCCTGGACAAGGCATAGATGCAATTCTGAAAATGAACTGGTTGAAAAATTATGGGGTAGACTTGAACCTTAGGCAGGGAATTATTGAGTTAAGGCTTCCTTCTTCTAAGGATAGGATGTCTCTCCTTATGTCGTCAGTCCCCACCTTACCAGTTATTACTCATGCTGAAGTTTCTCCTGACCTTGATGTTATTCCTATGGTCTGTGAGTTTCTGGATGTCTTCCCCAAGGATCTACCTGGGCTACCACCGGATAGGGACGTAGAGTTTTCTATTGAGTTAGAATCTGGTACTGCTCCTATTTCGTAGTGTCCTTACCGCGTGGCTCCAAAAGAATTGGCTGAGATGAAGAAACAGTTAGAGAAATTGTTGGAGAAAGGATTCATCCATCCTAGTTCTTTATCCTGGGGTTGTCCCGCTATTTTTGTGAAGAATGACGGCACTCTTTGGATGTGTGTGGATTATCGCCCTCTCAATGCGGTAACCATTAAGAACAAGTATCCTTTACCTCGTATGATACTCTGTTCGATCAGTTGGCTGGTGCAAAGGTGTTTTCAAAGATTGATCTTCGTTCGGGGTATCACCAAATTAAAATCCAACTGCAAGATATACCAAAGACAACTTTCTCTACTAAGTATGGGCTTTATGAATACCTAGTCATGTCTTTTGGTCTCACTAATGCTCCTGCATTCTTCATGTACCTCATGAACTCAGTCTTCATGCCAGAGTTGGGCAAGTTTATGGTGGTGTTCATTGATGATATTTTGATATATTCTAAGAATAATGAAGAGCATGCATAGCATCTTTCTATAGTCCTGACTCGACTGTGTGAACATAAGTTGTATATCAAATTTAGCAAGTGTGAGTTTTGGTTGGATCGAGTGTAGTTTTTTGAGGCATGTCCTAACCCCCGAAGGCATCTCTGTGGATCCTAACAAGGTGCAAAATGTGTTGAGTTAGAAATCTCCAAAGTTAGTGCATCAGATTCATCAGTTCCTTGGTCTTGCTGGTTATTATCGTTGCCTCATCCCTGAGTTTTTCAAGATAGCTCAACCAATGACTAAGTTGCTTTAGAAGGATGTCAAGTTTGTATAGAGTCCGTCTTGTGAAGAAGCTTTCTAAGCACTGAAGAAATTTCTTACCTCTGCCCCTGTTCTTGCTCGACTAGATATTGATATGCCATTTGATGTGTATTGTGATGCCTTTAGGATTGGACTAGGTTGTGTGCTTATGCAAGATGGACGTGTGATAGCTTATGCTTCACGCCAGCTAAAAAAACACGAGGTGAATTATCCCATTCGTGATTTAGAGCTGGCTGCAGTAGTGCACGCTTTACAAATTTGGAGACATTATCTGTTGGAAAACAAAGTGCATATTTATACGGATCACAAGAGCCTTAAATATATTTTCACTCAATCTGAATTGAATATGAGGCAATGAAGGTGGCTCGAGTTAATCAAGGATTACAATTTAGAAGTCCATTATTATTTGGAAAAAGCTAATGTGGTAGCTGATGCCTTGTGTCGGAAGTCGCATCAGGTTGGTGAAGAATCTTTGCCCCTCACACATTATGAAGTGTTGACCCATATTGCTCTAGCCTTAGATTTATTTGGGCAAATTATTATGGAGCAAAGGTAAGATGCTTCAGAAATTCCTCATATCAAGAAGTTAATTGCTGAAGGGTGTAGCCCTCATTTCAGTCTTGACGATCAAGGTGTGGTAAAGTTTAAGAACCAATTGGTGGTTCCTTTAAGTGATGAGCTTAGGAGAAAATTTTTGGATGAGGCTCATAACTCCAAGTTGTCCATTCATCCTAGAAGCAACAAGATGTATCATGATTTGCGTCACTTGTATTGGTGGCCAAAAATGAAGTAGGACATTACTAAATACATATCAGAATGTGACATTTGTGAGAAGGTTAAGGTGGACCATATGCGTACGTCCGATTTTTTACAGCCTTTGTCTATCCCTGTTTGGAAATGGGAGGATATTTCTATGGATTTTGTTGTGGGTTTGCCCCGCACAGCAAAGGGGTATGATTCTATTTAGGTCATTGTGGATCGCCTCACCAAGTCTGCTCATTTTATCCCAGTGGATACAAGGTATTCAACCAAAAAAGTATGCCAAGCTGTATTTTGATTGGGTTGTAACCCTACATAGAGTTCCTCTTACCATTGTCTCTGATAGAGGGTCTATTTTTGTCTCTCGCTTCTAGGAGCAACTCCAGAAGTGCCTTGATACTTGCCTCCTCAGAAGTTCAGTTTATCATCCGTAAACTGATGATCAAATAGAATGAGTCAACCAAGTACTTGAGGATATGTTGAGAGCTTGTGTCATTTCTTTTCCAGAAAAGTGGAATGAATGCTTGACTTTAGCTGAGTTTTCTTATAACAATAGTTATCAAGAAAGCATTCGAATGGCACCTTTCGAGGCTCTATATGGCAAGAAATGTAGAACACCACTTAAGTGTGTTGAAGTGGGAGACGGTGGTTATTTTGGGCTTGATTTTATCAAAGAAGCCAGAGAGCAAATAAATGTTATTCAAAGTCATTTGAAAGCAGCCCAGAACCGTCAGAAAACTTATATAGAAAAGGGGAGAAGACCCTTACAATTTGAAGTTGGTGACCATGTGTATCTCAAGGTATCTTCAATGAGAGGTGTGCATCGTTTTGGGGTTCGTGGGAAATTAGCTCCTCATTATGTTGGACCTTTTAAAGTTTTGGAACGGTGTGGTTCTATTGCTTATTGTATCCAACTCTCGGATATCTTGTCAATAGTCCATAATGTCTTCCATGTTTCTCAGTTAAATAAGTGTTTACGGGTTCCCACTGAAGTAGTGGAAGTTGAAGGACTCCCCTGTCCAACCTGATCTTTCTTATGTTGAGCATCTCATCAAAATCTTGGATGAAAAAGAAAGAGTCACTAGAAACAAAGTGGTGAAATTTTATAAAGTCCAATGGCAAAACTATTCGGAGGACGAAGCAACTTGGGAACAGGAGAATTATATTTTGGAACATTATCCCCATCTCCTTCCTAATTTATCAAGGTAATTATTTAAATTGAAATTGCTTCTTATCCCTTCCTACACTAGGCACTCACATGAAATCTCGGGATGAGATTTTGTTTAAGGGGGTAGAGCTGTAACCTACTTAACCATGTCATGAGCATCATGTTTATGTGGTAATGCATGTGATAAAGTGTGTAGATAAATTTCTTGTAACCTAAAAATGAATAATAAAAATGCTAAATGAAAGTTGATTCAATAGCTCATATATATCAAGTAGGGTTGAAAACCAATTTTTATTGAGGAAAAATACTATAGAACATGTGTGTGGTACCTAAATAAAGCTTGCAGTATAAACTTTGTAGATGGCAATGTAACCTTTGCTCTAGAAAAACAACATTGCTAGCTAGTGTTTCCAATAGCTTAAAAATGAAACTTGAAATAAAAAACTAGCTTAAAGACTTAGAAAATTCTTAAGTTTAAAAATAGTTTGACAACATTGAGTTTGTGAAATTATTCTAAAAAATCTAGTTAAAGATTA